TGTACTTTCGCCGCACTTCAGCAGCCATGAATGAGATACGGAGGAGTTAAACGCTTACTCATAATACTTAATCAATCCATCAAATTAACACGTTACATCTTGCATGTAGGACTTGATGGTAACAACTAAATATATTATAAGCACCTATTTGCAACCTTGGCATTCTTGTCTGCAGCTATCTTGGTTTTCTGTTGAGATGATATTCAAAAGAAGATGCGATCTGACCTTCGTCGCTGTACAGATTTCAATAGTTCTAAGAAGACAGACAGGCATGTCATTGATCGACAGTTCTTAAGCTCGGTCGTAACCACCTCTTTAGGTGATATGTCCGTTACTCTATGAGTAAGGAAACTGGGGGCGAGAGTGGGACCATATAATATTGCCTGAATTCCGATGGCAGTACACTACGCCTGCATGCGAAATATTTCAACCAGTATTACTGGATGCCATCTACCCAGGGCGATTTCCAGTTTAGTGTCTTTTAAGTAGCATGTAGTACAGCTTCAGGTATGGTTTGGATAGACTGCGCTATTTTGATATTTCCAGCGGAATTCTCTTCTTCGGGAGGTGGTCCTTCTGAGGCATTCGTAATCCCAGGTTCTTACAATACGTTTCTACTTGCACATGTGGAATCTTCCCAATACGAGGTTAAGTTTTCAATTTCGGCAGGCAGTTTTTTATCATCTCTTTTAATCAACTTTTCCGTGGCGAAATTATCTGTATTTTTCGGCAGTCAACCTCTGGTTGACCCTCCTTTGCTAGTATGATGTGCAAGGCCAGGACGTACAAAGTGCAAGTGTAGCTGCATGCGCCATATGACATGCATCGTCCAAACTTCGACCTTCTGGGAAGGTTTGGCCGGCACCTTCTTCCTTATATTCACGTAAAGACTTAGTATAAAAATGTTATTTTGGACACTATTAGTGCTACAAGTAGATTTATTAATTCTTCTAATTCTTATTCTACGATTTATGATATTATCAACGAACTGAACTGGAAACTTGTACTTATCACATAACGCTAATTTAATGTTTTATTTTTTCTTTAGAAACTTACACTAATGTTTCAAAGCTCTGTCCATTAAAGCAGTGGTTACAAATCCCTTGTTATATACATGATTTTGAGTTAAAGATGATATATTTATGTCAGAAGGTCTATGATAAACTTTAGTTTTATAGTAATTAGCAGAGTTAATTATTAGGACATAAAGTAAAGGTAGACTAGGGCTATTTTCTCTTTCAGTGGTTCATAGAGTTTGACCGAATACGCCATTGTGGTCTAGTATTATATTTTCATTAACACTGAAACAGATGACAAAATATCGTCAACATATCTTTTAAAAATGAAAACAGATCTGGGTTCACCAATGCAGTGAATAAAAGTTAATATTAAAATGTGAAATTTTCTGAGGAAAGCACATCGTAAATCTTAATCACCCTGCAATTCTGCAAAATGACTACAGATGATGATAAAATAAAGCATGCCAATGAGAGCAAAGTGGGACTTAACAACAAGAATGTCATTGTTGGCTTGTCTTCGTTATCTGAGGCTAACAGAACTGAAACAGCTGAGTAATCCAGATTTATAATGCCCTAACGTTAGAAACAGTACATCAGATTGATATCACGCAGAGTTCTTTGCTTTGGCAGTGGTCGTATTCCGCTGACTCACTGAGGTATTTCTATTTTCTATGATTCGCCCATGCGTCTGAGGCAGGTGCACGGTTCCCAAGATAGAAAGGTTTTGCATGCATTGTGTTTGAACAATTTATGGTTCAGGGCACAAAACACTGTTAATGGTACAACACTTTACTGCCGACGCGTTGCGCTACATAGACCACAGCATCATCAGGACTAGGACTATTATTTATTTTACATACGAAGAATTAGCAGGTATTACATCTTTTGCATACATTTCCGTTCTCTTTTTGGGCAGTTTTATCAAATCAGCGCAGGCGCCGGTCTCTCACCTCATCTTATAGTTAGTTCAGACTGGTGGTCGTCAGGACCAGTTCGTTCGTGAGCCGGTGTCATGTCACTATCTAACTTGGAGAACACGACGCTGAAAGAGTTGTTGAACGCTGCCTGCATGAGCTTCACGACATTTCTGAATGACAGACGTTTTAAGACTGTACATGAGCATCGCGTATACGTCTGCTTTTAGAATGGGGATCTTAGCATCGGTTCGTATAGTTCAATCCCTCATTCTCATTCAGATTGCAAAAATTCGTTAATGCCAGTTCAATATGCCGCCGGTCGATTTCTGGATCAATGCTTACACTTTCAGCCAGAAGATGTGGAATGATGCCTAGTTAGGTAACCTGACTGAAAGGGGAGAAATCAGGGTTATGATCTGAAGATGAAAGGAGGGCGATAATCTGTCAGGACAAAAAAATCACAGTGATGTATCGACAAACAAATGAGCAGCGAAAAATATACATCAAAAGACGCGCTAATGATTAGAAACGAGTACGCTCACCCTTCACAAATAACGTCTTTAAGTTTTATTTACTGATACCGATTATATTCGACGAAAGCATACTAGCATTACTTTTATGAAAGAAACTGTAAATTAACTTTGTGGCAATTACATTCTCCAACAGTTTAGAAAAAATGCAAAATCGAGTGAAGAATTTCTTCAAATTACGGCAGACATGGAAACGCTAAGTAAACAAATGCTGCTTAAGCAAAATAAATTTAATTACTTCATTTCTGATGCACCACGGTTCTTAAAGTACTATTAATGTGATAAAAAAATAATTCCTATAATAAGATAAGAAGTTACACAACCGGCAAAACAAAAGTTGTCCCTTCTTGGCCTTTGGTGCAACTGTGTACTGTAATTCAGACTTATCAGCAGGTACAGCGTGACTGCTTAATTCTTTATAATGCAGAAATTAAAAGGATTATAAGGTCAATTTTTAATTTACTACTTACACCTCATGCTGAATTTTTGACCACTATAGGATAAGTTTAGGTGAATACCAGTAATAGGGCGTAATCATCAGATGACACAGTTGTACGTGTCCCACGCATTACTAAAAATGCCAAGTCACCACCCTATTATTATTTTTCGCAGGATATCAACCGGTTATCCCGTTATCGGCTGATAGCGCCAAAGCGTAGCGGGGCGCATTCTTTCCACAGAGTAAAAAGCAATAAATGGAAAGCATCCCAGGATATGCTTGAGGCTGGAATCAGGCACTTCTAACGGGCAAAGCACAGTACGGCTTCAAGGCGCCAGTGCCTACCCATTCCCTAATGATGCGAACAACATATCTTCAGTAGAACTAGCCAAGAGAAAGGTGAATCAATAAAATTTATTTCAACGCTCACTTTGAAATCGCTGCTGCTGTGATTCATTAATAAATGTCAGCTTTTCCGTTGTAACAGGGTTGTGTCCAACGTTCTTTTTACAAGTAGTCCCCAACTTTAAATGGCTGTTTGCAAATATACCGTGTTTCCTCGTAGGCCAAGTTATAATCCAAATACTAAAAAAGTATTTAGTCTAGAGGCCGGAGGTATGGGGGAAGGTTTGGTCATCTTCATCTTCCATTGCCGCTTCTCCTTTCGGGT